TCAAGATGCTATGAGAAATGTGAAATAAATTCTAATGAAAATATGATAAGTACAAATCCGATAAAACTTCCAAATTTTCGTCTCGCATATCTCTAAAACTTACACTCATTCTATTTTTCTTCGAAAAGAAAAGCATAATGCGAGTTCCACAAAAAACAAAAACAGTCAATAATTTTCCCATTAATTGTTAATGATAATGAATTAATATCAAACAAACTTTTGAATATCAATTAATTGAATAAGTACAATATGTTTTCATACCGGGTGTGGGTGTGGGTGGGGTGGGTGTGGGGGTGCGCGTGCGATGGGTGTAGATGGCAAAAGAATCATACTACACTTGAAATTTCTATTTGTTCTTAAGTACATCAGTTAACGGTTGGAAGCAAGAGAAAAACAAAAATCGCTGAGTAAAAAAATCATTTGCTTACGATATTTAATAGACGAAACCAGATGAAAAAAATATTCCATTTAATTCAATATTTTTGGTTATCTCATGCGCTGCGCAAAAAAATACCATCCGATTCACTTTCTTATAACAGCACCACTATTTTGTGTGGTTTCATGATGCATGTTTCTATGTTCGTCGAATATCTTGTCTAGAAATGCACCGCAAATGTGATTCGTCGATTAAGTACTCATTTCTTTGTTGGAGGGCTGAATCGTTAGATTTTGTTGGTTCATCACTCACCAGATGCAGAACTTTACAAGGGATCGTTTGGTACCATAACAAAGCTGTTTTGAAGAAGTTTAGACTGAGTTTTGTTCAAAATACTGGCATCCCCCTTTCTTCCATCAATACATGATTCATATATGGAAAAAATTAGACATGTTTGCTTTCCTTAAATGAGACATTTCAAATTAAAAATTATTTCAATCGACTCATTATCTTATAGTGTATCTGTGGTAAAAATTTCAACTCGAATGATGTAAGCTTTCGTTAGTAACGATAGAAAAACCAATCGTCATTAGTATAAAAATCATATAATTTTCTCTATCATTTATGTTCCTTCTTCTCAGTATTTTTATAATATCCCCCCAGGAATAAAAAATATCAACATGGAGTTTTGATTGATTCTGAAAGCTCGAATGCAGTGCTACAAAATGATGTATTCTTTGATTCATTTAGAGATGGCCTTCACATAAATAATCCACTCAACTTTTATTCGGCTGTTAGAGAAAGTATCAGATGATAGGAAAGTTCCATGGGGAATCAACTAAAATATTAAGTATTTGGAAATTTTACTTTCATATTACACTTTGTAGAGCTTTCTTCGCTGATCATTTTGGTAAAAAAAATCATTTGAATTTCATCGAGTAATGACGATGTTATAGTCAAAGTTGTTAAAACTTAAGTACCTAAACATCCAATTGTTTTCTAATGAGAAAGCATAGACAGTCAGTTCTTATACCTCAGAGTGAATATTTTCTAGACAAATGTTATATAATGGGTATTGTATAAATTTTGCTCTAGAAAATCTTGTAATTGGTTTCTCAGAGAAACTGAAATACTACCATTAGATCTTGAGAGAACATCACGCCGAATATCTATCATAAAAACAGAAGATCTCATGCTTTTGATTCGAGTATCATACAAGGTTCTGTCGACATTTATTTATACTATTCGAATGGATCTGAGATATCTACTACAGGATTTTACAGAGAAAATTTTTTTGTTTAATATTCATTATGCCACAATTCTCCAAGATATAGAGATATTTTGGTATAAAATCGACATTTGTCCTTATCAAACGTTCTACATAAATCACAACTAAGGTCGATAGAAACCTCTCAGATGAAGTATTTTTTTTTGCAAACCAATCGGAGAAATACTGATCCGTTCTTAAGATATTCAAAACTTCCTCGTGATTCTCTTCGGTTTGAAATCTTTACTATGAACATATACGAAGGATATGTACTTATTGTGAAACAATGAGTCGAAAGATGTGAACTAATGATGAGTTGAGCAATATCTTCAGATATTTGACAAAATGATCACTTCTCTTGTTTTTGTATAATACATATTTCGTGAAAGCCTTATTTATAAAAAGACTGAAATGTTGGCTAGGCATTCGGCTCCATGACTATACTTAATATGACACACCGATATACCCTCATATACATTTAAAATAGTTTTGATATATGAAAACTATATTATCTTTTTCCATTTAGATATTCTTCCTGTCTGTTAACAAAATATATTTTCTTTGATATCTTATTCTCCTTCAGTCTGTTTATTTCATAATACTTTAATTCTATACAAATCGATTTAGCTTTGAATACACATTTTATTTAAATAATCATTGATAACAATTAATAATTTAATATTTCGGTATGAGGAAAATATTCTTTTACATATTTAGGAATTCGATATTTACCAAGTAAACTTAAACGATGTAATTTTTCGCCATTGATTCGTGTTGCATTTCTTGTAAATTTTTCTGTTACTCTTCTTAGTGCTTGATAAATGACAACAAGATAAACATTATTTGATAAACGCATTTTGGTATCAAGTAGAAATAGTTCAATATAATCTAAATGAGCTTCAGTAAGATCAAGTGTAGTAAGATGAGGATATTCAATAATTGGTAAAATTTGATTGTCATCTTCTGAATTTTTAGATTTTTTATCATTTCGAGGTTTCATATTTTCTAAACTTAATTTTTTCACAAATGGAAATGATTGAGCAATTCGAAGAAAAAATTCATGTTGAAATGGTCGTTCATCATATAATGATATTTTAGAAACACATTTAAATAATCCACCTGGAAAATTATTTGTTATCTTATAATATTCGCACAGTGTATAAGGATATGAATAAATATGACATCGACCTTGTTGAGTATCTGAAAAATAATCGATATAAGAAATAATATGATTATCATGAAAATCTTCGAATGTGTATTGAATATCTTCATTTGATGGTAAATTAATTTGATTAAGACCAATAGTTGAACGAATATAAAATTGAATTTTTTTTAATCGTAATAATTTATTGATAATATTTTTTTTCAAATCATGACCATCAACAAATATGTTCTTGTCACAAATTTTAACATATAAACCAAGTTCTTCTAAATTGATCATTCGATGTAGAAGTGGAACAATTAATTCATCATAAGAACTTGTCTCTATGTTAGAATATAATGAAAAGCATTTTAAATTAGGTAAATTTTCCTAGAAAAGAAGCAAAAAAATCCCATGTCTTGTGAGAATAAATTGGATATCAATGAAAATAATTTACCCTATTATTGATTGTTAACTGTGCAGAGTGAATGTCAGAAATATTAACATGAAATTTACGAAGTTCATTGAAATGTCCATCAAGTAAATAAAGACAATCATCGAAATTGTTTACAGTAACATGCAGTTCTAAGAGATTTGAAGAAGCTAAATCTCGAGGTAAACTATCAAACGATATCTTTGAATACCAAATTGAAGATGGACAGAAATTCAAATATTGTAGGTTGATGAACATTTTAATGATACGTTGAAATATAATTGTATTGATTAAGTCTCTATCATATGACTTTTTTCTTACTATCATATTGAAAGTAAGTGATAAAATTTGATTTTGAAATAGATCAGTTAATGGATTTTTGTCTAAACATAACTATGAATGTCATGAGAAATAAAATTAATCCTAAAGCAGGTAAATTCATTCTCATTCAAAACCAGTGTGGAACGCCTATTGCGTAGTTCATTAGCAATGGAAATAAAATACTGATTAAGTTTTAACAAAAACATCCATAAAACTGAAGATGTGAACTTCTCATGTGTTCTAAATTACAACCATTCAAATAATATATCTTACCAAAAAAGTAATATATACATGTACGCAAGTCAATATTATATAAAGTAAGTCCATATAAACAAGGATAATTTGTAGCAAGAAGGATACGTTCCATAGATAATGGTTCAAGATCAAGCCATTTGATTTTATGCTTAATTTTGGGTAAAATTTCTAAACAAAATTGATCAAGCATTGAATCAGTTAATGAATGTATGAAATGATCCGAGGAATGTTCCAGTAAAGTCAAATGATTAGTAAAAATTGGATCATGTACAATTGTGTTAAGTCGTTGATTAACATCTATTAAAGAATAGAGAACATCAGCTTGACACATATTGTTAAAAATCATCATAAGAATCTCATCAGGTAAATTATCCAATTGAATCATTGAATGTTCTATATCTTTTTTGTACTTCTGTTTGTGTGTATTGTAACTCCGAAATGTGATTATTTATATGCGTATATTTCTTTCATCTAATTGGCTGCTGTCGTCAATAAAAACAAAGATGCATTTTCCTATTATCTCAATTGACTATATGTGAGCGAGCAAATGAAATTAAAGACGGTACTTTATCTATTTTTGTCAACAAATGTCATATGAAAAAAAAAGAATGGTCATTGATTTTTTCAAAATAGTATCATGTAGAAAAAAAACGAAGAAAATCCGATAATAGTCGATGATTAATCCATTTTTGGTCATCACTATTAAAATAAAAAGTTGTTGCTTACGTTAAGAGAAATACAAAAAAAAGAATAACGATTTAGGATAATGAAAATTGAGGCATTTCTTTTCTATTTAAGATGTTTGTTTGAACTATTGGTTTTTCTCTAATATTAGTGATTATTTTGTAATCTTGACAAGTGTGTTCGAGTCTTTTAAAATCTTAGAAGTCTGTTGAAATCTTTGCAGGTTTTCAAAAAATTGAGATGCCCTCCTGAGACACAATTAAGCAGTTGATGTTTCTCGAGAAAACGAAACTTCGCAAAGCCTGTATTCTGTTTATCTTTTCAATTAAATCTCTAAATCGAGCTATGATCCTAAGAGAAAATGTTTACAACGTAAGAAAAAAAGTAATTTTGCTCTTGTCTTGTATTTGTCAATGATATAGCAGCTTTTAACACGGATATGATAGAATTCAAATAGATTATTTTTGCTTGCACAATGATAAAATCCTGCCTTAACGCAACGTTTCATTTATTGATCTTTGGATGTTCTCTGTCTTGGTGCAAGATGTGGATCTTGTGATCAATCAAATTCACAATTCGTAATAGATCCTTAGATTGTCTTGAATAAGGTCAGTATTGCACAATTCGAAAAACATGAAAGAATGCTTTTAAAATTGATCGAAAGTTCTATTCGGATAGGATGGTCAATTGCAGTCAAATTGGTTCGTATATAGACAATTAATTACATTGTCAATAAATTTATTCATATGTGGCTGCAGCACGTGAACGATCAGTTGACTATTAATTGTGCTACTGTTGATTTAGTGTTATCAAGCTTGATAGTCATCTGAATATTGTGTTTTCTGTAAAACATTGTTTATTAGTCGTTCCAATAAGACAACGATTTGATCATTAACAAGCCAAAACACATTATCTTATCGTTATCTTTATTATGATATTCTATTTTTTTACTGTACTATTCAAGTTGGAAGAAAATATAAGTCTTCTTGTAATGTTGCGAAACAAATTTTCATCGATATACAAATTGATTAGTTGTTAGAAAACTCAATTTCTGAAATTGTATTATATTTACGTGCTAGCCTGACGCCCCCCCCCCC